GGGGTGGGGTTTGGGGGGCTGTGGTTAACAATCTAGGGTGATAGTGCGGGTGGGAGTGGGGTTTAGGGGGCTTTCAGGGTGTGTGTGCGTGCGTGCGTGCATGTGTGTGTGTAAGGGAGGGTGAGCATGCCAATGCGGTTGTGTGAGGGCGGCACGGGTGGCCGTCGGCGGCGGCAGCGCGCCCGCCGCGGCTGCGCCGCGTGCACTGCATGCGGCGCGGGACGGCCGCGGCCGCGCGCCTCGGGCCCGGAGCGGCGGCGGCGCGCACGCGCACCGGGAGCGGAGGGGCTCGGGGAAGCCGGCGGGCGGCTGCCCGATGTATCCCTGCATGAACTCCACCACGGAGCCGGGCAGGGAGAGCTCTGACGCCCTCTCGACCTGCAGGCATCAAAGTCGAAGTCAATTGTCAAAGGGACCAGGGTTAGAGCGAGGGTCAGGGGGTCGAGGGCGCTGCAATTCTGGCGCGGGGATGGTTTTTGTTTGTTAAGAAAGCGGTGTGCATGAGGCAGCTGGGGGAAGGTATTAGTTTGTTGAGGCGGCTCGTGCGGCGTGGCGAGGAGGACACAGCTGCGGACCTCTCGCCCCGCGGCCCAGTTTGACCGGTCAACCATGGGTGCCCGCGATCTGGCAGCGCGGCTCTCGACCTGGCCCCGATGACTCACCAGGGTGTGCTCGTTCAGATCATTCTGGACCATGAACTGAGCCAGATCACCCACAACCTTGGACGCGGTGGTCGGGGTGGTCGGGTGTAGTCAACGGGTGTGGGTGGATGGTGGAGGTGTGGGTGAGCGGTGCAGGTGCGGGTGTGGGTGCGGGTGAGTCGAGGGGGTAACGAGGGGCCCCAGCAGCAACTTGGACTTGCAAACCGCTCGCACCCACCACATGCAGGGCGCGACTCGCGCGGCCCCGCCCCGCCCCGCCCCGCCCCCGCGGCCGCACCTTGCTGGAGGGCGTGACCTTGACAATGTCGCCCAGCGCCCTGTTGGCGGCCGCGTACGCCTGCTGCACCTTGCCCCAGCTGTCACCCAGGCCGAGTGACGCGGCCTGGCGGCGTCACAGGCGGGACGAGGGGCGGGTGACTGTCGATCACCACGAACCTGCGGCTCACGCCAGTGTCACAGCTGCGCTGGTCACCCGACAAAACGGGCGGTCACCCATGGAGTCACCCGTGCGTGGCCGCCCAGCGGTGACGCTCGCGCGACGTGCCCACCTGGAACTTGAGGTTGGTGTACTGCCCGCCGGGCATCTCGTGGTAGTACACGTCACTGCTGCTGTACCGCATGTTGGACTCGAAGGGCGCGTACAGCTCCCGGGTGGCCTCCCTGGGTGACGCACGGGTTACACAGGGGCGGGCGGTACGGGTGTGTGCGGGTGGCGGAACGCCATGACGAGGGTGTGTGCGGGTGTGTGCAGGTGTGGTCTGGTGTGGGACAGGTGCAGATGTGCCAGCGATGACGGGGCGAATGGGGGCCCGGGTGGGTGGGTGAGCGGCACCCACCAGTAGTTGCTAAGTCGCAGCAGGCCAGCCTGGCTTATGCCGGTGTCCAGGGCTGTGCCCGCCAGGCTGTTGACAATGGCGCCCAGGTTGGGCTGGCTGGTGAGGCCTGGGGGGGTGGGGGTGGGGGTGTAGGTGGGTAGGTGGGTGGGTGGTTGGTTGTGGGTGTATAGGTGGGTGGTGTGGGTGTTTAGGTGGGTGGGTTGGCCGATGCAGGTGGTGGAATGGGGGATGTCGGGTAGGTTCGCATGGGGAGGCTTGGGGACAAGGGGACAGAGGGGGCCGGAGCGCGGTGGAGGAGACGGAAACGGGCGTGGACCGACGGGCGAGTCGGGCCGCCCAGCGGGGCGGGGTTGGAGAGGCCGCGGGGCCGTCCACGCGTCCGGGGCCGGGCCGCTGAGGAGCCCTTCACCCCTGAGTACCCTGTTTTGAAAACGGGAGAGGAAAAGATTGTCCACCCGCACCGCTCATTGAGTCGATGGCCGCGTCCACCATGTCGGCGCCGGCGGCGGCCGCCGCCAGCTGGCGGTCGGGGTT